GAAAAGAAAACGCAGTGGACCACGGTCCGCCGGCATTCTCACCTCGGCCCAGCGGGGGAATGCCGCGGCCTTGGGGCCGCCTCCTCTTCACCGGCGGCGAGGAAGGCGACGCCACCCTCCGCAAGGTCGACCTCACCGAAGGCGAGCACATCGTCGGTCGCCGGCCAGGCGCGGCGTCCCTCGCTGCTGCTGCCTCTGCCCGGCCGGCCACGCCCTTGCCGCGGCCGCTGCCGCAGCCCCCGCGCGCCGCAGCCCAGGCCGCCGTCCTTCTCGCCACTGTCGGGAGAGCGCTGCCGCCCCTCCCGCCGGCGGCGGCGCCGCCGCCTCCGCCGCCGCGCCGCCGCCCGCGCGCGCGACGGCCCTCCCTCCCTGTTGCCCGCCCCAGAGTGCCTCGTCGTCTACACCGACAACCGCATCTCCAGCACCCACTTCAAAATCTCGCTCCGCAACTCGAGCGACCTCGGGCGCGTGGCGTCACCGCCACCGCCACCGCCACCGCTGCTCGCCACCGCCACCTGCTCGCCTCCGCCCTCGCCGCCCTCCGCCGCCCTCCACCGTCATCACCGCCGCCATCGCCGCGCTGTCACACGCGCGCCGCCGCCGCCCAGGAAGCGCGCCTTCGACGTCTGCCTCGAGGACTGCTCCGCGAACGGCACCTACCTCAACGCTCAGCTCGTTGGCAAGGGTCACACTCTTTGCACGCTCGTCTCGCTGCGTCTTGCGGGAGAGACGCCTCACTCACTCTGCTTCACCCCGTGCCAACAGGCAACTTTTGCTTCCTGTTCCAGCGCGACGAGATCGGGCTGCTCAAGCCGTGCGGCGGTGACGAGCAGCCGCCCTACGCCTACATCTTCCACGACCTGACCGGCGGCTGCAAGCCTCTCTAGATGCTGCAGAGAGAGGCGGCAGAGAGAGGCGGCAGAGAGAGGCGGCAGAGAGCCGCGCCCAGGCCGAGCACTCGAGATCGCCGCGAGCTCAGCGGGACCTTCTCGAGAGACGTGCCCTGCACCCTTCTCTACTCGCGGCCGTCGACGTCTCGCGATGCGCTGACTGCGCCGCACTGTGCCGTGCTCCCACGCCTCCAGCCCACTGCCGCTGTGACGCAGGCACCGCCGACCACTTCCCCTTTCTTGCCACCGACGCGACGCCGCAGCGCGCCGCCAAGGCGGTGCCGCCGCTGTCCGTGTCGGGGCTGAGCAGCTCTGGCCCGACGCCCCTCCCGACGGAGCGCACGTCCGCCTCCTCCTCCTCCAACGGCACCGCCAAGAAGAGGCTCGGCGGCATCTTTGGCTCGCGAGCCAGCTCGCGGTGCGACACAGACGAGGCAGCGACGCCGCCGTCGGAGCAGCACTCCCTCGGCGTTGGGGGTCCGCGGCGCCCTTGGACCGCGTCTGCACTGGTGATTGAGCAGTTGCCAAGGAGCGAGTAGGCGCCGCCCCAGTGGCGGAGGGCGAATCGTCTTCCTCAGGTCTTGTTGATTCGTGGTTCATTCAGAGTAGGCGCGGAGTCCGTGGGGGAGGAGTCCTTGGACCTGGTCTCTCGCCAGCTCGCCATGCTCAGCGACCCGAGCCCGACAGGCGAGGGGCGAGATCGGGGCGAGATCGGGGCGAGATCTGGGGGAGATCGGGGCGAGATCGAGGCGAGATCGGGGAGGCGAGATCGGGGCGAGGTATAGAAGCGGGTGGCGCCACTCTCCCATGCACACGCGCCCGCCCACACGCCGCAGCCGTGGGGGGCATGAGGAGCGCCTCTTCACAGCCTGCGCTGTGAACAGGCATGCACACACTCAACCACACGCTGCAGCGCGGCTTCAAGTTCCAGGCCGACGAAGTGTGAACAGTCAAGGAGTTGTTAGTTACTCATTAAGTAGTTCGCTTCAAGCTCCAGGCCGACGCGATCGCCCTCGGCGGCGTCACGGCCTTCATGGACGTTATCGGCGCGACGATGGCCAAGCCGAAGAAGACAGCGATGGACTTGCAGGCCCGTCGAGGGGGGGGTCGCTGTTCCGTGTGGCCTCTCCACGCGGTAGCAACTCCTCATGGTTCCTGACTTGCAGGTTCTCGACATCGCGCTGGACATGCTGCTCACCACCAGCGCTTCGGAGGAAGGCGACGAATTGATCAATGGCGAGGAGGGCGTGAGTTGATTAGCGACCTCGCGACTCACGGGGGCTGCTAATGAGCAGGCGCCTCCTCGCTGCTTGACGAGGAGGGCGGCTTCGACAAGTCGTCGCCATAGAAGCAGACTCCCCTCCCTCCCCCCATTCGCTCCCCGTGTCTCCGCGTGTCAATCGTGCCCTGAAAGAGGCGGACTGCGCCTTCTTGTCCTCCGACCGGCCCCTCGAGATCGCCCGAGATCACCCGAGATCGCCCGAGATCGCCCGAGATCACCCGAGATCACCCGAGATCACCCGAGATCGCCCGAGATCACCCGAGATCACCCGAGATCGCCCGAGATCACCCGAGATCACCCGAGATCACCCGAGATCACCCGCCCCACCCGAGATCACCCCAGATCAGGCTCGTCTCC